CTCAAAGGGTCAAAGTCCTGGCACTTTTTCTTTATAAGAAGGAATTATGGCATCACACATCCACCCTCGCAGGCTCAATAATGTTTCTCATATCAAAAGAGGAATTCCAATGGTGAAGCAAAATGAGAGTGTGATCTAAAGTGGTAAAAATTATTGAGGAAGAAGATACAAATTAGGAGAGGCTGCAGCAACTAGATTCTTGTTCATGCTGAAGGACAAAATTGCACCCCATCTTTCTTCTTCATTAAGCACACTGACTTTTCACTCAGTTTGCAGCAAGTGAAGTAAGCAATTGTTTTCATAAAGGAAAACTAATAGTAGTAGTAGGAGAGAGAAACCAGGACACTTTAAAAGTGGCTGGAAAAGTAAGACAACAAAGAATTAAGTGGAATTGTCCCTATCAAATCAGGAAAGTTGGACAGTATGCACACCACCACAATGAATTTAGCTGTCATATCTATAGTGTTCAGAAATCAAATGTGTTCTTCCAGCAGGAACATGTTTTATAAAGTATCCATCCTGGAATCAATATATTTTGTAATGGCTTGGTCTTGAATTGGTAGGACTCATTAGCCTTAACAACAGATTTAATCATGGAGGGAAGTGAAAAGTTCTACAATGTTTTAAAATCAGCACCTAATTTTTGGACTCCTTCTGGCAGTATTATTATGGAAACTATCTTGCTGGACTACCTATGTTAAGTTTTACACAATGAGTAGGGGCTCCCTGCTAATTGTTTGTCCCACAGCTGGGAAGAGTTTGGTCATCTCACTACCATCAATGGCATAATGGAGAGATTATCAATTACATGCTTCTGGGCACATTAATCTTGTTGGGAACATGAACTCACTCTGTGCTTGGATCTATGAAACATGATTTTTTAAAGAAACAGAAGCATGTTTTCAGTAAACTTTTATCTCACTTTAATAAATATCCTTGGTGGCTTTGGATTGTCTGTTTGATTGTAGCTTGCTCTACAGAGTAGAGTGCACTGTTAAAAAGAAAACACCTAGCATTTTAAATCCATATTTAAATGGAGAAAGTTATTGGCTGGAGTTGAACTTTTAAAATGTACCTGTTCTGTCTTACAAACAAATTCAACTTAAGAACAAACTACAAAACCTACCTTATTCGTAACTTGCGGACTTCTTGTATTGCACTGAGTGCTGTTAATATATTGCAATTACCATGCAATGCCATGCTTAACCCAATGTTGCTTGTTTTATTTGAACTTGAAAATTCACTCAGTAATGCTGTTAAAATGGGACAGGCTAATGTTTGCACGGTTGTGTTCCCACTTCTTATCAGCTGGCTGACTTCATGAAAAATGCTCTTGCATTCAATTGATTTGTCTAAAGACCCTTGTTTTACTATTACAGCTATTGCTAATAATATCTGTTCTTGTACATACTTCTGAAGGTTTGGTCTTTGTAAGACATATGTTAAAAGGAATGTTCATAGTGGCTCAATGCTACTTTTTCCCAATAAAATCCATTCATGTACAACAGCTTCCAGTATTGTTGTGACAGCTTGGAAAAGGACACATTCCACTATACTAGTTTCTAAAATATGTTTGCAAACAGCAAAAGGTGATTTTGATTTTCGAAATGATAAGAATATGCATTTTGCACACTGACGTTCGTTATTGACCATGGAAAGTGGTGCCATCAAGACTTTGATCACATTCTCCAGCTGGGCTATCACCTCTGGGGCTCCCCCCACAGCCCTTGCACTGAATGTATCCTGAGGCATCTGAGAAACACCTTGTTAGAATCCTGTTGGTTAGTCCCAACTAGAGTAAATCCAGAGATCAAACCCCAGTCAGCCATGACCCAACTTTGAGGAAGTAACACTCTCTCAGCCACATAAAAATACAACCTCCCCTCTTCTAAACAAATCTGAAGAATGACAAGATTAGTACCTTGAAGGTTTATTTCTTCAGAGGTTTCCTCATAAGTACTTGTACCTCTGTAGAAGGATTACTTGAGAGAAACTCTTTTTTAAAAAATTGCCAAAGACCTGGTGTTCATACTCAATGATTAGCTAATTGGTATTCATTGTTTTACAGATATAACAGGGAAGAATTTGGCTTAAACTCATTTCTCCCAGAGGAAGTCCTTTGGAAAGGTATGTGCTTGGCTAAAAAATGTTTCTCTGTTTTAAAATCTTTTGTTGCAAGTATTGTTAAATTTTAAGTTTAGTGTTTTTTAAAATGGGATTGTTAAGTGATGACATGATAATGTTAAAATGTTATTTGTTAGTTTTTCAATTGTATTGTAAAATGAGTATAATAACTGGAATAGATGGTGTTATGAATATCACTTTCCTTTAAAAATTTGTTTTCTTTATTTGCAGTTTGTCCTTAAAAAGGAAAACCTCCTTCACTACAGCAAGGCACTACTTGAAGTTTGAGTTTTCTTGTTTGTTGTTATACTTGATGCTAGGCTTTTGATATTTAGGTTGACAGTTCAATAGATGGCCAAGTTTCCTCCCTCATCCTTTTGCCTTCCCTACAGCTATACTCCAAAAAGTACACATCTATTGTAGTTAAGAAGTTCTTAATTGTTTTTCCATAGCTCAAGGCTCCATAATACAATAATGCACATCTGAATCAGAGTAGGCTAAATAATACATAGAACATGACTTGCAATTAATCTGTCTCCATGTATTTACTTTCAATTCAGCTTCCTTTGAAGTAAGTGTTAGTTTTACTAGGGAAGTATTGAAGCAAAAAGTATGAAATCAAGTTGCATTTATTATTACTTGTTTTGGGAAAATGAAACTCATAGTTTACTTTAGCCATTTCTGCTGGTGCTTCTTAATGCTAATTTGTTTTTTTAATTTTCTCATTGATACTTTTTAAAAGTAACTGATGTAAAGTAGCACTTTAGGCATTTTTATTCCAGCTCCACTGTGTTTCTTAACCAGTAACAGTCTCTCTGAGCAACTTTGATCAAGTTGGCCTTATGAGAAAATAAGCAGTGCTTTGAAATGGGTTTGAATCAGAAAAAACAAGGACATTACATTTTCAGAAAAAGGCATTAAACTCATTTAAAAGCTGTAGACTGAGCAGAACAGCCAAAAATGCTAGCTGAACTGATGTCAACCCATTGTTTGCCCCTTCTGAGTCTTCCCTCAGACACATCACTCCATTTACTTATCTCACCCAGGGTTTTATAAATTTTATTCTTTGCATCACTGCGTTTTAATTCCTCTATCATTTTATTTTGCATTTGTTTTATTGCATATTTTTTATTGTTGGCATTTTACTTTGATGTTATTATCTGTTTGTTTGTATTTTACTTTACTGTATTGTAATTCTTGGGCTTGATCTCACGTTAGCTGCCCTGAGTCCCCTTGTGGAGATGGCGGTGGGGTATAAATAAAGATTATTATTATTATTATTATTATTATTATTATTATTATTATTATTATTATGTCTAAGGTGCATTTACATTGTAGAATTAACGCAGTTTAACACTACTTTACAATAGCACAATGCTATGGAATCCTGGGAGTTGCAATTTGGAGAGGTGCCAGATCGCTTGGCAGAGAAGGTTGAAGATCTTATAAAACTTAAGTTCCTATGATTCCATAGCAGTAAGCCATGGCAGTTAGTGCCACCAAGCTGCATTAATTTTACATAATAATGCATTTTGTTTACACCCTGCCCCCTCTCCCCAAAGGGACTCAGAACGGTTTACAACAGCCAAACAATACAAAGAAAATATAACAATATTCAATAAAACAATTATTACTCAAAAAGTTAAAATTACATCAATAAAGCACATTATTGTTTTTAAAGTGCATATTTGAAAAAAAAATCTAGCCCTGCAGTATCTTGCCCCAGGACTCTAAACAGAAGGAAATAACTAGTGTTTCTTCTTGAGGCCTTTCAGGACACTTATTTACATTATCATAGATTGCAAAGGAGTGGGACGATTATTTCAACACAGTCAGTAACGCAAATCTTTTTCTACAGGAAGACTGCTGGTAGAGGATCTTCAAAAGATATTGGTCACATTTTGTACATATGTCTATAGAAGGCCAATCCATCATGCTTTTTGTACGAGAGGTGGCAATACACAGTGGCGCTCCAACACAAGATTTTTTTTTGTTGAATCCAAGTGTTCTATTTCATATAATAGCTGTGCATTTTTCTGGTCTTTAACGACCAGATATTCTTCCTTGGTGAAGTTAAGGAGAAGGTGTTCACAAAGCCTTACAGGCATAGACATTTTGATGCAGCAATCGCGACAGGCCACACTGTTGCAGAGATGGCACATAGAAGGCCATATGAAAGCTGGTTATGGCAAATGGGACAATCCTGAGTCCTTGAAGAGATACACAGGTCTCTCTGGCTGGAACTTTTCATTTCTGAATATCTTGTTCCCATCAAATTTGCAATGGTTAGTAATGATAATGCTATATGCTGTCTGATTGTAGACAGTTGTTGATGCACCTCCATTCTGTATTTTTAACATCTGAAGCTCATCCATGAGATTTCATTAACAAATCACAGACTAAAAAGAAGGCTGGACAAAAGTTGTTCTCCAGGTGGTTTATTTAATGGATAGACTGTCTGAGGTTGAAGGGAATTGCCATATAACAACATATGAGTGTTGTATTTTGCTCTCCCTTTGATTAAGGAATGTCATTTCTGAAGGCCCCACCCATTTTTTTTAAAAAATGAAGTCACTATTTTCAAGAAAAAATGAATCCTACAAAGGACAATTTTAACTGTTATGTCTATTGTAATTTTATTTCTTGCTGTGTCCTTTGGGGGGGGGGGGTAGTGTTTCTTGTTTGCTTCAAATGTTGCTATCTATTTTGTTACTTAGGTATGCTGCCATCTAATGCTAATCAATGATCTGGGAAATCAAGATTCTGAATGGGAGACTGAATGATATGAAATGGAGTAGCTATTCTATGTAAGCCGGAGGTTTAATTTGTGGTTAATGTGAAAGTGACAGGATTGCTTTCTCTGCTTTGTTTCTAGGATGGATTGCAAAGTTCCTATTGTTGAAATCCTTCTTATCTTAGGGTTTTTGCTACCCACCGTGAAGGGAGAGACTATCCAAGCTACAGAAGGTATTGTTCTTGCTGAGGAGCTTGGTAAAATGTTGGCCAATGACAGAGAACTGGCCCAGGAATGGTTGGGACTGATGAACTCCAGTGGAACTGATGAAGAGAAAGTAAAAAATCCTCCTCCTCAAAAGGCACCGGAATCGAACTCAGATAAGGTGAAATCAAATTCTGGCACCTTCTACATCACAAGGAGAGACTATGTGAATCAAGGCTGGTGTAAAACACAGACATTCAAGCAAGCCATTCATGAGGAAGGCTGCAACATTTACACCTTTACCAATAGATTCTGTTACGGGCAATGTAATTCCTTCTATATCCCGTGGCACATCAATGATGAAAGAGGTGTCTTTCAGTCCTGTTCCTTCTGCAAACCAAAGAAATTCATCACCACCTCAGTGACACTGCACTGCCCAGACCGTTTGCCCCCAAGGATGAGAAAGAAGATCAGACAAGTTGAAGAGTGTCATTGTATGACCATACATTTGGACTAGGAATAGACAACTGCAAATGCAAATTAGCAGCTGTTAATTGCTTCCTTGAGTATGGTTCCTCACAGTTTTGCATCTGAAAGAGAATAAAGCAAACAGTGTGCACTTTCTTTGAATGTGAACCACAAATATGAAAACTCATTGGTGGGAGTACAATACCATGCATATCACCAGTTCACTTGTGTGCTGGGCTTCTGTCCTGTGGCTCCAATCTTTCACTAGGACCTATGTTGGTTTTCATGGGGATTAATGTTATATAGTGGTGGACACTGATATGTTTGTGGGGGTTGGAGTTGATTCCTCTTGGAGGTGGTATGAGTAATGCTCAGATATTCTTTTTTTATACCCTGTGTAAATAGTATTTAAGAATAATAAACAGTCCAATTGTGATTTTTAAAAAAGCTTAAGTGAGACCAACTTTATTTGGAGGTGAAATGTGAGGTAAACTTAAACTTGGCCATAATCTAGATGTGGACTGAGCTATTTATTTTAAGTTAGACTGGATCATTGCTACAATATGACCAGAACAAGAACCTAAGCAGTCTAGCTGCCAAGATCTCAATGTCTTACAATTTTTCAAGCTTCCTGGGCATTGCGGTTTTTCCAGAGTTGCTGACTGCACTAGACTATTGCAGCAGTCAGGCTTAACATAAACACAGATATTGCCAGATAATTTTCAGGAGGAAAGGGCAGCTCTGACAGGAGGGAAGGAAGGCAGATATTAGGACAAACATAATTATGGCCTGAGCCCAAACATTGGAGATTTGCTCTTAACTTTTAATCAAATCTGAATTTCTGATGGTGGACATTTCAACCCATCTCGTACTCTGAGATTCCACAACCAAACATTATACGTAGGGTGGGCATGAGTTTCTAGTTGCATCAGGGTGGATATGACGGGTATAAAAATAATTAGAAGGTGCTAATATGTCTAGTTTCTAAAAAGATATCAAGTTTCTACAGTTGACCACAGCATGTCATTCAACTTGTTAAAAACAACAAATAGCAAATATTTGTCTAGCTGGAAATCATGATCCAGTTTAAATAAGGCAATAATTTCTAATGTATTTTGCAGCCATGTAATATAACAATTCTAAGCTATCTAGCATTCAGTTATCTGTAGCCCACTGAAGCATATGTGGTCTTCTGTTGCTTCCTGTGTCAGTTCAAAGAACTCCAATAGCTTTTTTAAAGAGATGCCAAGTTTCAGATAGCTTTAGTGTGTGATGTTGTGTTTTAATAATGTAATTTTCACTCTCCAAAACCTTTGCATTTAATTTCCCCATCTTCATTCTCTATAGACTTTGCATATAGAGCAGCAAAGTGGGTTTGAGTTCTATTTCTTTTCTTAACTAGAATTAATGAGATTTACATTCAGTCATAGATTCAATGGGCATGCTGCAATAGTGACTAAACAATAGGATTCGGACTGAATTGGAGTTTAGCCATAAGAAAGACTGTTATTCTTTAAGACATTGGTAATTCAAGCACCATCTACATCAGGGGTCCACAAACTTTTTAAACAGCGGGCCAGGCCACAGTCCCTCAAACTGTTGAAGGACCAGATTATAATTTGAAAAAAACAAACATGAATTTCTATGCATGCTGCACATATCTTATTTGTAGTGTAAAAAACACTTTAAAACAATACAATAATTAAAATGAGGAACAATGTTAACAAATATAAACTTATTCGTATTTCAATGGGAGATGTGGGCCTGCTTTTGGCTGATGAGATAGGGTTGTTGTTGTTGTTGTTATGTGTTTTCAAATCGTTTCAGACTTAGGTTGACCCTGAGCGAGGGCCAGGTAAATGACCTTGGAGGGCCGCATCCAGCCCCCGAGTCTTAGTTTGAGGACCCCTGATCTACATAATGCAATAGGCAACTTTTCTATGTAGGTAAAGTTAGATTGAAAAAGGTCACCACCAACATGTGCAAGGTTCTGCCAGTCTTCAAAAGTAGGTCAAGCTGAGAAAAATACCACCAGAAAAAAGTGCTGGATTCTTAACTCCTACCATGTTTGTGTGGTGGTGATGGGAGCTTTTGTCTAGGAAATGTAGTTTGGGAAGGCAAGGACCTCTGTAGCTGAGAATTCAAAAGGCCCTGCCCTGAACTACATTCCCCAGAATTCTGCAAGTGGCAAAAATACAGGGCTGCCCACTTTAAAGCCCTGGTGTGATAACATCACCGTGGCAGACCGCTTTTTTTGGTGGGTGGGTGGGAAGAAATAAAAAGCTAGCTTTTCTACAAATCACTGCAAAATCTCATTTTGGATAGCTAGCCCAACATCCTTCAGGTTCATAGGTAAGAATTCTCAATCCTATAAAACATCAGGCTGAGAATGTAATGTGTTATCTGACATATTTTTTTTTTCTGGAAGTATATAACATTTTTAATCTGGCAAAACCTAAAGGGAGACTATGTACTTTTAGGGACAAGAGCTAAGACATGGTGGGCACCACAGTCCAAAAGGAGGAATGTTTCTAAACCATGTTTAGAAAGAATAGCATTTTCTCTACACAAGATGCAAATCATGTTCAATAAAACAATGGTAATGAGCATTATATATTTTGGGGAGGGAGATATTTATTTCAATAGTGTCAGCATGGTGTGTTGGTCTAAATGTTGGGCCACAGCTCTGGGGACTAGGGTTTTAATCTCCACTCATCCATGGAAATTCACTAGGTGGCTTTGAGCAAGTCATATGTTCTCAGCTTCAAACAAAGGCAGTCCCCACTTTGAACAAATCACATCAAGAAAACGCCATGATAAGATATGACATACGTTGGAAATGACTTGAAGGCACATGACAAGAAGCAAGGGAAATGAAAGCCGAGAAAGCCTATTCTATGCATGTAAAATCTATAGCATTAGTAGGACTTAATATTAGCACTAAGGATGCTAATGTTCCAGTCATAACTTCAAGGATTTCCGAGAAGCAAGGAAGACAGAGAGAGGAAGACTATGAATGGTGCTAGAAGAAGTGGGAGGAGAATGAGACTAATGAAAATTAAAATTATCCATGGAAAAATAATAAATGCTGAACTTTAGTTTCTTTAGAACAGGGTATATACATGCATTCTCTGTATGAGCTTGCCAAAGGTGACTAACAAAAATATTAAAAATGTTCTAGAATCCTGAGATTTGTAGTTTGGTGAGGCACCGTCACCTTTGGCAGAGAAAGGTGCCTTGTATTTTGACAACTTCCATGATTCCATATACTTGAACAATAGCAGTTAAAGGGGTGTCAAACTGCATTAATTCTGCTGTGTAGATACACTCTTTCTCCTATGATGGCTGGCTAATAGTGTCTACCCTTTGTTATGTTTCTTCATTTTAAATGGGATTTTGAATGGGCAGCTCTTGAAAGTATAGTCAACTTTCAGTATCCATGAACTGAAAATATTAATCTTCCAAAAAAAAAAAGAAAAAGAAAAAGCAAATCTGATTTTGCCATTTTATATCATTTGCTACACCAGTGTACATATGTAATGGAACTAGAGTATCCACAATTTCCAAGGGAGTGAGGGTCCTGGGACCAAACCCCCGCATATACCTATGGGACTGCACAGAGGACCATCCTTTGTAAAACTGCCTTACAGACAGTAGAACAGATGCTGCTCCATGAACATTGCAAAGAGAGATTACCTATAATGAGCTTTTCTTGACTGACATTTTACTTTGTGCTTGCTTTTTTCCTACAATATTGGTTTCTACTATCATGGTGAAATTTGCATATCTATAATGAACTGATATGCAAATCTTACTGTGAGCCCACATCTATCCATCTCGGCTAAAGCTCTGAGGTTCAAGAAGAACATCATCCTGCTTTCCAGTAATATGCAAATTAATTTGTTCTATTTCTCCTCCTTGGACAATTGCTTGAGCAATATTTCTAAAACTAGGCCATAATCCGAATCATAGAGATTGCATCCTAAGAGACAGAAAGATAAGCAGAAATAAACACAAAATGTTGTTGCTTAATTAGTTTAGAACATCAGTACAAATCCAGTCTGGAAAGATGGGCAATTAGGGAGTTGTGTATTAATAACAAGCAATCATCTGAGTCAAACTAAGTTTCAGAATAATTAGTTATATATATATATTTAAAAACTGATAAAATACTCCTTAAAGAGAACCTATTTAGAAAATGACTCACCTATTATTCATAACACTTTTGTTTAGTAAAGGTCCTTTTAGCCATTTTTATGCTGAAGGGATACATTGCATGGTAACAAGGGAATCTAGTAATTCCCTTTCCAAATGAAATTAAGGACTTCAACATTTGATTATCAGAGGAAATTGGAATGAAAACCACAGTTACAATTGTGAGCAAAATTACCCGATTAATCTCAGAATCTTGTTCATGTTTTCTCAGGAATCTGGTTTTTTTTAAAAAAAATTTTTATTGAAATATTCCAATTAGGAAAAACAGGGGGAAAGGGAGTTAGGGATGTGGTGGGGGTACTGCATGAGGTGGGAATAGAGGAAATTGGTAGACTTCCCATCCTCTTCATCATGGATTGAAAAAGAAAGTAAATTCTCCTTTATTTTTTGTTATTGTCTACTCAATTCCAAAGACTAACTCTTCCTTTTCTTATACTTTCTTCTTATTTATATTATTATCCTCATCTTCTCTTGTTTCATATAATTGATAAAAAGAGTCTAGTCTGTTTCTTTTCTGGGATTATTTTGCATATATGAAAGTTGTTGTGTTAATTTATCCACACTCATGATTTTCATTATTTTTGTCAACCATTCATTGATTGTTGAGGTTTCTTTTACTCTCCACTGTCATGCATATACTATTCTGGCCGCCGTTGTTCGATAGTTAAAGAGGATATATTTATTTTTCTCTAATTTTTCATGTTTAGTGCCCAGTAAAAAGTGTTCTGGTTTAAATTTATTTTTTCCTATAATGTCTTTTGAATGGTGACATGAATTGCTTTCCAAAATTATTATTATTATTATTATTATTATTATTATTATTATTATTATTAC